GGTGCTAGGAATTGAACTCACTACCTTGTAAATGCAAGACAAGCACTTGCCCACTGAGCTATATCCCCAACCATTTTTTATTATTATTTTGGGACAGGGTCTTGCTGAATTGATATGCTTGACCTCAGGCTTGCAATCCTTCTATCTCAATCTCCTGAGTAGCTGGAATTTCAGCATGCACTACCATGCTCAGCTGGATTGCTCTTCTCTAAATTTAATTTGATCATTTTTGCTGTGCAAGGGATGAAATCCAGGGCCTCATATATGCCAGGAAAGCACCCTGCCACTGAGCTATATCCCTTACCTTTCTAGAATTGTCTCCCTATAAATTTAAAGCAGATTCACTCAGGCCAGGGATTTAGTTCAGTGGCACTGTGCTTGCCTCACAAGTGCAAGGTCCTGAGTTCAATCCCTGATACCGGGAGAAAGAAAAGGAAGGGAAGAAGGGAGGGAGGGAGAGAGAGGGAGAAGGAGGGAGAGAAAAGGAGAGAGAGAGAGAGAGAGGAGAAAGCAAGCAGATACTCTCTAATGGAATTTAAATGTGGTCAAAGAAGCAAAAATGTCTTATTGAGATGGAAACTATACAAAATTATTTAGCCAAGAGGCAGGCCAGTATGTTTGAAGCCACTGTGTCTCTGCTGGAGAACAAGGCCTTTGAGATGATGGCATGGAGTATGACAGCATGTCCCTTGAACTGGGCCTGAGACCCTGAACAGAAGAGGGCCCAGGCCAGATTCTAACAGGCCTAGGAATCGGCATGTATGCCTGCGGTTCCAAGTGTGACCTAGAGCTGGACAGAGGGGATACCCAGCTCCTTGCACTACACCTATACCTGTCTTGTGACTGGCATATTTTTCACGATATTTATGAGAAAGTTTTTATTTCTGCATTTTTACTGTATATCTAAGTAAGGTACTGAGCTCTCATTAATTCTGATGCAAAATTACAACTCCCTCATATCTCTTGGGTTTTCTAGGTATGGAAGTGTATCCTGCACATCTATCTACTTATATCATCTCTATTTTATAAAGAGACTGGGGTGCTGAGGATTTAGCTCAGTGGTTCTGCTGCCTGCCTCACAAGCGCAAGGACCCGAGTTCGATCTCCGGTACCAAAAAAAAATTTTTTTAAAGAGACTGGGGTTTAGAGAGGTTAAGCTACATCCTCTTGATCACACAGCTAATAAGTAACAGTGCACAGAGTCAAAAGCAGGCCTAACTTTAGATCCTGAGCTTTAAATTACTGTATACTATCACATTTATTTATATATTACACTTTTAAGTGGGACATTGTATACATTTTTGTAATCTTTCACTTAACTTTCATATATGCCTAAATATTATTCAAGAATATGATTTTGATTGTTGTGCACAATACCTTTATCATAAAAGTATAATAGCTAACGTTTATAGAATATTCAAGGTGTGTCAGACATTTTTAAATGGATTATTTCATAGAAAGTATGGTTATGTGAGGCCCAGATTACTGGTTGTTACAGGTGTGCCAGTTGAAAAACCCCAGCCAGCCTGCCACCCTCCTACCTACTGGCCCTCAGCCTGCCACTCCCAAAGAGCTTTGGAGCTATGGGATCTGCATGGATTGCTGTGTAATCCAATGATTTAAAAAAAAATGCCTCTGTCTTATTTGTGTGAATATAAACAAGTGTCTGGACTGAGCAGAGGGCATGGTAAGGATGACAAAAATGACCCTTAATGTCAGCAAAGGTTTCTTGGAGGAATTAATGCTACAATAAAAATAAAGGACCAAGAGGGGCTGGAGATTTAGCTCAGTGGTTCCGGTGCCTGCTTTGCAAGCACAAGGACCTGAGTTCAATCTCCAATACAAATAAATAAATAAATAAACGACCAAGAAAAAATGTTCTTGTAGCTTCCTGGAAGCTTTGAGATGATAGTAAAAACCCTAGCAAAACCATGGCAGAGAATAGAATTTGAGATGCAGGAGCCAAAGGTGAATGGACACCATTGATGGGTTGAGAGGGGCAAAATATAGTGAAAACACAAATGAGAACGTGATCCCTTCCATTAATGTACAATGTCTACTTAATGCATATCGGCTGCTCTGGATTGAATTGTGTTCCCCAACATTTCCATAGTGAAGCTCTAACCACCAGCACGATGGTATTTGAAGATGGAGTGTTTGAGGGGTTAACGAAGGTTGGATGCAGTTGTGAGGGCAGGGCCTCCACGATGGGATTAGTGCCCTTATGAGAAGAGAGCAGAGCTCACTCTCTAGACCACTTACACACATGCATACCAAGGAAAGGCCTTGTGAGACAGGAAGAGTAATGTCAAGAGGGACTGAATTGGTGGGCACCTTGACCTTGGACTTTTCAGCCTCTGGCACTGAGAAATAAAGGTCTGTTGTTTCTTTTCTTTTCTTTTTGTAATGGCAGACTAAGCAGACTAAGACACTAACTGTTCACTTCAACTGACTACCTACATTTTTAAAATGTTAGAGATAATACTTCATACTTTTGAAATTACTCTCAGAATAGCATTAGAAAATGAGTTTTTAGGGATAAGGGTGTTGGCTTGGAGGCACAGCACTTGCCTACCATGCACAAGGCATGTAGTTTATAATCTCATGGGAAAGGCAGGCATTACACAGATAACCTTATAGTAATGATATCATTCCAGTTGTTACATGATACTGGTGAAGAAGTGCAAGGGGCTAGGAATGGGTATGACAGCAGAGCATGACCTGGGAAAGGGATGTGAGCTGGCTTCCCTGAGGTGGATGGGTCCTAACTCCTCCTTCTGTAGGAGTTACTGAGGCAAGATAAGTGTGTTCCAGCAGGCATGACAGGAGCTAATGATGACATCAGCAGCAGAAACAGTGGCACCACATTTTTATTGTTGTAAAATATGAGCAACAAACATTACTGTCCCAACAACTTTAAATTATATAATTCGGTGGCATAAAGTACGTTCACAGTGGTGTGCAGTCATCACCACTTTCTACTTCCAGAACACTCACTATTCCAAAAGGAAATCCTGTACCCATTCCCATTAGGTAGTCACTTCCTGTTTTCCACTCTCTTTAGCCTTACATAACCATTGATCTATTTTTGAACTGTGGATGTGCATATTCTAGATATTTCACATAATTTTGATACAATATTTTGCCCTTTTGTGTCTGACTTCTTTAAAGAAGGTTGTATCAGAGGTTCTTTTTGGCTGTATAATACTCCACAAATATACCACATCTTGCTTATTCATTCATCAGTTGATGGGCATCTGGATTGTTTCCACCTTTTTGCCAGTGTAAACAATACTGCTATGAACATTCATGGATACATTTTTACTTGGACATCTATTTTTAATTCTCCTGGGTATATAATTAAGAATAGAGTTGCGGAGTCCTATTATGACTCCATGCTTCACTTATTGAGAAACTAGAAAATGACATCACTTGACTGTTGAAAAGAAAAGCTCAACAACCAAAATACAATGAGTATACAGTATATATAGTTGTAGCCTAAAGCGATACACAGTTACAGTGTCCGCTTCCATGGCTGGGTACAGCTTAGCTGTGCCTCTGCTTAGGGTGTCATGGGGCTGCAGTCCAAGTGTTGCATTGTCATCTGGAGCTTGCAGTCCTCACCCAACCTTGTTCAGGTTGTTGGAGGAACTGATGTTTCTCACCACTATAGTACTGAGGTGCTCAGCTTGCAGAGGCTGTCCCTCTCTACAACCTTGCTGTCTGCTTACTCAAGACCAGCCAGAAATACTCTGTCTCCTCAGGACAGGCCCAGTCTTGCTTTTAATGGTTTCACATTTGATTAAGTCAGGACCAGCCAGCATCACCTTCCTTTTGATAAACACAACATCAACTGATATGCAACCTTAATTACATCTTGAAGCTCTGTTTTAATACGTTATGATAAGCAGTTTGGCAAGGTTAGTGACAAAATGAATCCTATTTTCAAGGAAGAGAATCAGTATGAGTCTTTCAGGGCATAGCCATCATTATAGTTAGAAAAAACACAAATGCTGTTTTCTATTGGCGAATTCAGGAATAAACATGAACCTCCTCAAGTCTGAGGCTGATCTCTTTTTCATAGCCCCCACTCACCACTAAGACCCTCATCCAACTATGAATGCCTTGAGGACAAGTGCTTGTGTATGTTATCTCTGTCATCCCAGTGCCTGGTGCGGTCAGCTTTTGTTGGTAGAAAGAAGTCAGGAATGCCACCTAGACCCCTTGGAGAGATGGTCTTGGGTACAGTCATTGTTTGCCATGCCCCTGCAGTATATTGAGTGAGCTACCTCTCCCCTCACAGCACCTCCTCTGAGTCATCCGTCTCTTTAGGTGGCACCACCGTGGTCACTCAGTGACAAGCAAGCCAGTGCACAGTGCTTCTCACGTAAACAATTGGCAAATCAAAGGAACCAATGTGTACTGACCCAGATGTCCTGATTCTTGTTCTGAACAAAATAATTACCTTTATTTTGAGCAAATCTGTAATCTCCAGTTATTTGCCTCCCCCATTGTAAAGTGGGAAAACTAGTACTGGTTTCTGGTCACCTCATAGCGTTGCTAAGGAGAGTCAAAGCTAGATGTATGGACATCCCTGGGCTTGAGGAGTTCTCACCAAGTGGGCAGTGACTGGGCATGATCTCCTTTGGAGCCTGTCACTGCTGTTGACACTGAGAATACCAGAGTGGGAACAAATGCTGTCTTTGTCACAGGCGTAACTACAGGGGCCTCTCTTTTCCTATGCTGGCAGCTGAGGCTAAGTATTTGAGATCCCTAAGCCACCTGTTTTGAAGTAAAGGACAGCCAGTAGGTAAGGCAGCCTCCAGAACTGGGAAGAAGGCCAGGCTTGAGTGGAAGTTCTGATAGAGAGCAAGCACAGAAGTTGGCAAGAAAGTGTTTTCTGGGAACGTTTGAAAACATACAGTCTTTCTGCTAAAGTAGACAAAGCACCAATAGGAAGCCTGCCTGAAAATTCCTGCTCTAATGCATTATCAGCTAAGGAAGATTCTAGAACTAGAAGGACACTGTGAGCACTTTACCAAGGAGGCTTCCCTTGAAGTCCAGACAAATAACCACAGCGTTTGAAGCTAGCTGGGAACTTATAAAGGTCAGTATTGTTTCCACTGAGGAAGAATGGTAGGTTGGCATAATGGTGTCCTTATTTTGTAAGCTTCAGGCGTGTGTGAAGGAGTAAGTGAGCCTGTAGGCTCTAGGAGGTGAGGTGTGCTTGGCACATGCTTTCAGCTTGCCCACCGGGAAGATGGTGTGGTCAAAGTCAGCAGTCTGTTGCAAATCTCTTCCTAGGATTGCAAAACCATACCAAGATACCTTTTAAATTTAACAATGGCTGATAAGTTTTTAAAAGAGCATATCTGCTGTCCTACGTGATGGGTTTTATCAAAATATGGCTTGAACTTAGAGCTCATGGAGATAAAGGACTGATGAGAAATGGTAAGGCCATTATTTTTCATCGGAATGAGAATGATATTTTTGGGTGAAGTGATTCGTGTCACAAGAAGAAGTCAGTAAGCTAGTAGTACCTGCCAAAGGCAGCTTATTGGACAAGTATTAGGAAATGAAGCCCCCAGATAGATTGGACTTTAGCGTAGCCTTGGCCAATTTCAGGATGCCAATGGCATTGAATCATACATGCTTCTATCAGGGACCACATCCAAAATTTGGAGTTATCTCCTAGGCCAATGAAGCCATGCTGGCATTTGAATTACAACCCTGGCATCATCCCAGGGCATTTTTGTCCTGGTGCTGGGAAACAATTCCATTAGGGCCTTGCAGAAGCTGCATGGTTCAGTGACGCAGCCATGAAAAGGCGCGAGCCCCAGACCTGACTCTGTCGGCAATTAATTTTCATTCCAAGTAAATCTTTTAACTAATCTGTGTCTTAATTCTTCCGCTGTTAAAAAGAAGCTGTCTAATTTGATGATTTATTTCCTTCCAGCTTTAAAAAATAAAAAAGTTAGTTTCTTAGCATTCAACAAAGAATCATTGTTGTGGGGCCGGGGATTTAGCTCAGCGGTTCAGTGACCTGCCTTGCAAGGGCAAGGACCTGAGTTCAATCCCTGGTACAAAAAAAAAATCACTGTGGAAATGCAAATAATGTAATTTTGCAATTTTCTTTAGGTATGAAAGAGATCTTAAAGATCACCTACACTAAGCCCTTCATCATACAAGTGTAGAAACCAAGGCTCAGTAAGGAGAAGGGATTTGCTCAACTACTACATTAAAATATCAAATAATATAAAAGAGATTGCATTAAGCAACAGTTCTCTACCCACCTTTCTGCACTCCCTGTCTCACTGCACAAAGGGACTTCACAGATTTTGTTTTCAATTCATCGGATGGTTACTTTTGTATCTCTAAATAATGTTTGTGCTCCTGTTTCTTGATTTATCCATTTTGGATCTTATCTATCAACTTTTTACTGTAAAACTAAAGATTTAGCTTACTTAACATTACTCACAAATTCCCCCCTTTCCTCTGCCTCCCCATGTTTGACAATATTATTTTTAGGAGATTTTTGTTCACTCATTAAAAGAACACAGAGTAAAATGTACTTTTTACTTGTACAGCCTATAAGTGCAGACAAATTATAAACTCTTGTGACTACGATCACAATCACTATGCAGAGCAGTTCCAGAGTAATCACTCCTCTCTCCCTTACGCTCACATGGACAGCCACTGATTGGTATATGTTCCTACAATCTCACCTTTTTCCAAAATATTATAGAAATGGTATCATATAGTATTCAACCGTTGGAAATTGTGTTTCTTTCACTCAGTATGAGCATTTTGAGATTCATGTATCAGTAGTTCATTCTTTGGTATTACTGAGTAGTATTCCATTGCATGGATGTGTACCATACTTTATCCATTCACTACTTGAATGAAGCACCTTTGGGCTGTTTCCAGTCCGAAAGTATTTTCGTGATTTCATTGGTTATGTTATAACTTGAAATCATATAATGAAACCTCTGTTTCTTACGCCTTCATCCACTATATATTAAATAGGTCTTCCTTTTCAGCATAATAAATTCTTTTCACTGATTTCAAAACATAACACTAGCTTTTCTGTCACAGTTGTAGATGGATTTGTGGGTGAAACTTCTCATGCAAGTGAGAAGGTCTGTTTAAGTACCATCCAGCAGTTCTATTTAGGGCTACAGCCATTATAATTCCTCCCGTAGGACAGTGAGACTTCTCTAGTAGCAGGAATACTTGTTGCTGGGCAGATACACATGTCGTTTCTGTTCTGACCGTTGCTAACTCAGGCAGTAATTTTTGAGAAAAAGACATTTCTTCATGTGGATTTCAGCTTTTGTCTGTCATGCGTTTTCTGTTCCAGCTGCCTGCACTAGTGAACACAAAGCCACATTTCAAAGGAGACTGACAAATTATCCCCAGCTGCCAGAAGGAGTTTGGCATTCTGTGTATTCTGTGTCCCTCTTCTCTGATAACCAACAGGTTAATTTTCTAAAAGAAACTGACAAAAGCAGAAATTGTCCTTTCACCAACTGGGATGTTGTTTTTTTTCTTTCTTTTGAAAGATGTGCATTTCTAATATTTCTCTCTACTCCTAATCCAGTTTACACCAGGAAATATAGTGTGAATAATTATAACTGACTCTGCTTTTTTGCAAGATTCATACACATGGATTCTTTTTTAAAGAGGGCTTACAAAAATCTAAATTGTTTTTTGAATTGGCAAGCATGATGTCTTCCTTCACTGAGTAGCCATTTAACGGCTGAATGCTGTCAACTCTGGCCATGGAAATTTATGAGTTGTTATATCCCACTCACATTTGTTACCATCTTTGCATAAGATCTTTATCTGTCAAGCACCTGGTGTAACTGGAGTAAGACCATACCTAGCACAGTACCCTACATGTCATAGGTGCTCAGGAAATGTCATTTGAGTTAAAACGGTACAGAATAGTATCATGTATATGTGCTATATGTGATGGGGAACTATTCTGTGTTGATACTGTGAGTCAGACTTTCTCAAATACTAATCGGAAGGCAAATTGTTACCACTCTCCCATAAGGCAACTTGGCAAAACGCACCAAAGCCTCAACAGTGCTCTTATACTTTCACTCAGTGATTCTCTTTCAAAGGAATTTATCTAATTTTTTTTTTCCTGTTTCCGGATATCGATCTCAGGACCTTGCACTTGCCAGGCAGGCACAGCACCACTGAGCTAAATCCCGGGCCCCTGAATTTATCACTTTTTAATGCTTAACAAGATGGAAATGCTAATAATTATAATTTAATCATTATACATCGTATACATGTACCAAATTATCACACTGTACCCCATAAATATACTATCTTTAATTAAAAATTTAAAATACTAATAAATTCTCAAAAAAAGTAAATTCACTGTAATATAATTTAAAATAGAGAAAAAATAGAAAATCTTCAGTTGTCCATATAAATGCTTTACAGTAGCATTTATGCTACGAAGTGCTACATCATTATTTAAAATCTTATTGAGAAGAACATTTAATGGCATAAGGAAATAACAGCATAAACTATATGAAGGAAGAGAGGATATACAAATGAACATTCAGTATGATCCTGTGGGGGGTTGGGGGGTGTGCATGTGCATGCACAGAAGAGAGGAAGAAGAAAATGGAGATACTAACAATAGTTATCTCTACATTGTGAGCTGACAAGTGACTTTCAATTTCTTATTTTTGTAATGAGCTTATCCTGCTTTAAGGTCCAAAAAAGTCTTTTTAATTTGAAAGAAATAACTACTATTTAGAATAACGGAGTGCACTCATTTATAAAATCCTACTAACAAGAAGTAGAATCCTTTTCCAAAGCAAAGTAAAAAAAAAATTCTTCAGATGCCATGTGGACAGTCACAGCAGTGTTCAGTTTCTGGAAGACAAAATAAAGCCCGAAAGTCTTTTCAGCTTTAAGGATTCTGAGCCCCCATTTGATATTGAAAAGCAAACATGTTTATTCTTTTCTCTGTGTCCAGTTAATTTTCATCCTTCCTTCTCTATCCCCTATCCTTTTTTAAACTGTCCAGATCTGTGGAACAAATGTTGAGCAAACTGGAAATAAATAAAAGTCAATGGCTTTGAGATACCACAAAGCCCTCCCTTCCTGTGTACTAATGGCTACCCGCCCATAATACTCCCCAGAGTGGAGCAGAGCCTGAAAATTGCAAAGGGTGAAAAGAGGGGGAAAAAAAACTTAGGAAGTCTGGAAAGACTGAGATACACTATGTACAACTCTCCCTCCTCTACCTTTTTAGCTTTACATAATATAAACTGGTAGGCTCTGCTGGAAAAAAGAAAACTACTAAGTAAAAAGCCAGCCACCAAAGTAGATTCATTAAGAACCCTTCCTATTTCAAAGAAATTGCAAGCTTTTAGACCTTTAGACCTGGAAGGAAAATATTCCAACAAGTATAAGGATCCTTCCAAATACCTGCTATTATGCTGATTCAAATGTTAGTTTAAAAAAATAACTATGTGCCAATGCACACAATTTTACAGATGATGAAACTACAGCCTAGTGAGAAGTTGTGTACTCTTTAAATCACAAGGTTTGTTGGCTAAAAAGTTAGGAATAGGTCTTAGATGGTCTGGAAACTGTCAGGTAAAAAGATGGATTTTTCCAGTATAATCTGTCCCTCAGCTCTGGACAGCCTAAATACTTACTGTGTACTCGTGTTTGGATGTTTTGCTTTCACCCAGGGTCTAAACCTGAGTCTGTTTGCTTTTTATTCTCTCTACCTTCTCCCCATAGTCTATGATCCTGTCAATTTTCCTTCAAAAAATACTTCAAGGTCTTACCCTACTGGCAAGACAACATAACACCAAAAAAAAAAAATTTCCCCTGTACTGGGGATTGAACCCAGACCCTACATCCTCAGTCTTTTTTTTCTTTTAATATATTTTATTTTTATTGGTACATGTTTACAGTAGCTAATGATTCCAGTCCTCATAGGGAGTTTATACATGTGTATAACACATCTAAATTCTTTTCATCCTCTTCTCCCCTCACTCCCCTCCATCTCTTGCTCACTTTCCTTTATGCAAAAGATCTATCCTCTAATTCCTCTTATCTTTTATT